GAAAGGGACAGTCTCGCAGCCGGACGGCACAGGCGCTCCCCGGACGGGCAGGGAGGAGAGCGTTGCGGGGGCCGGGTAGGGGTGGGAGATTGGCTCCAGGCCAGGCTCAGCTCCCAGGCGCGGGAGGGAACAGGGTGTTCACCCGAATTCCGGGAACCCCGAATACAGGAGACCGTCCGCTGGAGAAATGAGAAGTTCGGACTGCAGGCGGGGACGTACGCATCTGCTCCCTGCCCGCCGGGATTCCACGCTCCCAGCCCACCCGAGTCCGCGCGCGGGACCCCTCCACCGAGCCCCAGGCCGCTGCCTTGCTTTCCTTCTACTTTTCTGTCCCTTTTTTCTTTGCTTTGCTTCCCTTTTCTGTGTCTTCTTTTTCTTCTCTTACCTTTTTTCTTCCTTCTCTCTCTCTCTCTCTCCCCCTCTCTCCCTGCTCCTTCCCCTCCCCCTCCCTCTTTCTCTCTCTCCCTCCCCTCCCCTCCACCACTTGTTCGTTTTCTTTCTAATAATCAGAGTGGAGGGCAAGTCCGTCTGTCTTCAGAGCACGCTCAGCCACCGCATACCATCGCATCTCTTGGTCTTTGCGGGGATAGAGTTGTTGAATCCTCCAACGCGCCCTTCTCCAACCAAGAATGAAGACCAGCCGGAAGAGGTGGCTGAGCGAGCGCCAGGTGCAGTTCACCAATGCCCACCACCGCGCCCATCACAAATGTACACCCACTACCTTCTCCTGATTGACTTCTATATTCGCACAAATATAGGTTCGTCCTCTTGGCTTAGAATTTTGTTTTCTGTTTAAATGCATCTAAATACCCTCAGGGAGTGGTAACCCTTGAAAGCCTTTCCATTGCCCTTGGTTCGAGTTGTTCAAATCCCTTCTGGAAAGAAGCATTTTTGGTTGGGGGTGATGTGAGGTGGAAACAACCTCAGGGGTCTGAGTGGGTGCTGAAGGATTCGGGGAAAGCCCAACTTGGCAGGACTAATGACAAACTGCCTGCTCCACAATTTGGCTTGGGACCCTCCTGCCTGGCCCCTCTCTGCTGCTTCACTGGAACTCAAAATAGGGCAGATACGGTCCCTTCCCCTTGTGTGCTACCAAAGTTAACCCACAAATGCGAGAGAGAAAACTTCAAATGCCAAAGCTGTACACACATCCAGAGCCAGAGCAGCCCAGTTTGAACTATGGGCACACGCACATGCTTACACTCACAGGCCACACACAGAAGGGCCAAAAAATTTGTATGACATGGATAGCCTAGTGATAGAGAACTGTTGATGTAGAAAAGAGGTAGAGAAGAACTTGAGCACAGACAGCTACAGGCAGAAAGGAAGCTGGAACACTGCCACTACATCCAGAGGCCTGAAAACCCAGGGCGTGTTCTTCTTGTGACTTTTATCAGTATTTATTTTGATGAATAAACAGTATGATTAATAAAGACATTGAATTGTAGCACTTAAGGGAAACAAGTTGCTCTGTTCAGCCCTCTCATATTATAGATAGGGAAATGAAACTCAGATAATATGAGATCTGCATGAACTTGCTAGAAGTGACCAAGAACTAGATCCCAGGTCTTGAAATTCAAAATAGTCTCTATTACACCAGACTAGCTCCAGAAAATTTAAGTTCCACTCACAGAATTTTTTTTAAAGGGAACACATTTATTATTTCACAGCTCTCAGGTTCAAGAATACGGGCACAGATTAGTGCGGTGTCTCTCACAAAACCGCAGTGAAGGTGTTGGCTAATGCAGTGGTCTTATCTGAAGACTTGACTGGGGAATGATTCGCTTCCAATATCATACATGTAGGTGTTCCACGTATAGAATTTTAAAGTTAGAAGAAACCTGGAAACATAAGGGAATGTAAAGAAATATAAATAACTGTATTAGGTTCTCCAAAAAAACGGAACGAACAGGATGTGTACATATATATAGAGAGAGAAAGCTTTAAGGAATTGGCTCCCATGACTGCGAAGGTGCAAGTTCAAAATCCACAGAGTAAGCCAGCAGGATGGAGACTCAGGAAAGAGTTGCCTCTCAGTCCAGAGAGAGTCTGCCAGCAGAATTCTCTTTTGCTTGGAGAAGGTCAGCCTTTGTTCTAGGAAGGCCTTCAACTAATTGAATGAGGCTCACCCATGTAATAGAGGGCAATCTGCTTCATTCAAAATTCACTAATTTGTGTTAATCTCAGTCAGATACACTTTCAGGGTGACATCCAGAATAATGTTTGACCAAATATCTGGACACTGTGGCCCAGCCAAGTGGACACATAAAATTAGCCACCACAGTAATTGAAACAAATGTATGTATATATGTGTGTGTGTGTGTGTGTGTGTGTGTGTGTGTGTGTGTGTATAGTACATTATATATATATATATGATAAGAGTAGTATACTTACCTGTGCTATTATATGTTTCATGTTCATGAATTTATGTACTGATATTTCTATACAATTACATGAATTGTAGCTAAAATATTTCAATGGGGTAGTACCTGCCATTGATCAGTATATTAGTAAAATCTATTTATTTTGATACTTCTGTCTTCAAACTAAGATTTGTTCTTTTTCTTTGAAAGAACATGTTAGGGAACTGAAGTATGTAGAGAAAATTACATGGTCTTTTAATGCAAAAACCTGGGTTCAAAATTTGTTTCTGTACTTAACCAGCACTATGAACTCTGGCAGTTTACTATATAAACTATGAAAGCCTTATTTGTAATAATACTATTAATGTTTAACTAAGGACCATAAGGCAGATGAACTAATGGTAAAGAGCACCCAGCATATTTCCTGGAATTTAGTAATATCAGTTGCCTTTGCCTGTCACATGTATCATCCTAAAACTGAAAGTGCCAGGATCACATTCTTCTACACACAGGAATCCTCTGACAACATTCCAGACAAAATGAATATTGAACATCTGTTTGAATCCTTAGCATTGATGAACACAACTATGAGAAACTTCCTCTTTCTGTTGATTGAATCAGACATTCATGCCATCGACTTCCATTCAGAACAAGGACATTCTATCTTCCACAAAAAGCCTTTCAAATATCTGAAGATAGTTATCATCTCTCTTCTCAGCCTTCCCTTATTCAGTTTTCACAGCTCTAGTTATTTTAACTATTCAGTGCCTGGCTCCTCACTACACATGTGATTCACCCTTCCCTATCAACATGTGAGTCATCAGCCATCTGGACAATATACTCAAAGTAGATTCCCTACCTTTCCCCTGATAACAGTGGGATCCTTACCTTTCCTGAACTGGATGGGCATTACACTTGTGTTAATAAGAGTTAATAATGACCATTTGAGTATTCACATAAGATATTTATAGCAGGAATAGAAGTAGCTTTTATTATTTTGATCTTCTATATGCTGAGGAGCATATAAATTTTTTTCCTAGTTATTCAAGGCTTATATCTTAATTTTTAAATAATTCAACTCAATTTCTGTTTTAATCTCTCAATTCAATTCCTCCTCTCTCACTAGGCCTGTTATTTTTCAGCAGGGGATGAGGCAGAAGAAATGTGGTCTTTGACTTACCCATGTCAGCAGCTATGAAGCTGTCTGTTCTCTGGTCATTGGTCCACACAGGTTGTCAACCTTGTCAGTGAAAGGCTCCTCCAGGTTCATGGCTCTCTCTTGACTCCCAGATGGGCCACCACTGTCCATCAGCCTAGTCCCTCCAAGGAGCCTTTCTCTCTCTGGGGCCTTGACTCCTCTCTGGGTCTCCATTTGTGAGTTAGGGTACAGAAAATCATCCAGCTTCCTGATCTCGACACACACACCCCCTCCTTTCTCTTTTCCTTCCCTTCTATCTTGAGAGAGGGCAAATAGCTTCTCTTTCTCTGCCATTTCTCAACATTTTATCTGCACCCCAACTTCCCTCAGTTCTTTTATTGCTAAGGTTATGAAAAACAAACCCAGACATTCTGAGTGCCTTTTGTTTTCTCCTGTGTCCCATCATTTCGAGAAGCTATGAGCATACACCAGCTAGAAGCTTGAATAGGGAGAAGAAGGGACAATAGAGGAGAAAAGGAAAACAAAGTTAAACTTACAAAAATATTATGCTTCTACAAATTTAAAATCTTTTGCAAATGATTATTATTCCCATTTAAAGTTTGGAAATTGAGGTTCAGAATGGTTAGGCAACTTACCCAAGATCATGCAACGAGTAAAGGGGGACTTGAGCCCATGTCAAAGTTTGAGTGACTTCTAATATTTATGCTCTTCTCTCATGTGTTCTCCTCATTGTTGTCCCCAAGTCTTTTCACATGAGCTGTCACGAAGTCAGGAAGCCCATCCTGCCCCAATGTCATAATCTGAATCCAAGGTCAGGGATATGAGTACATTTTATTTTGTTGTATTCAACTCAGTGCATCAGTTTGCAAAAGTCAATTTGAAATTTGATTCCTTCATTAATCTTGTTAACAATCTTTTCCAAGTTTTTGCCACATGCAAATTTAATAATTCTGTTTCCTATATTTAGAATATGTGAATAATATTGACCCATGCAAAGTCTCTGTAGAATTCCATGAGGGGCTTGCTTCCAATATTGATCTATTGATAATCAACATTGAAAGGCACACATTTTGAACCACTTGTTAATCTATGCTGCCTTACTCTCATCCCACACGCGTTCTCCAGCTGGAGCCTCCAAAT